TTAAGTTGTAATTTTTAAATTAAACTTATAATTCCTTTATGTCCAATCTCGAAAATTAGGCTCATTTTAATAAAAGTTTTATTAATATGTAGCCAAAGATGTAGCTTAAAATACATTAATCTTTATTTTAATTATCTCAGTCAAATTATCCCGGTCGCGGGACTAGTTGAATCGGATGGAATGCATTAGAAAAAATGTATTCTTTTTTTTATTAATTATCACACAATTTTCCCTTATTATTAAAATATTATTGGGTAGTCAAATGTATGTAGTAAGTGGTGTAGAATTCATTTTTTTGATAAATTTTTTAATTAAAAAAATTTAAAACTGAAAAATGAGTCTTTTAGCCCTGGTCTTCCCTATACATATATTATGCATGTGTTATGTGTTCAAGCATGTTTTTTACCGCGCTCTAGCGAAAGTATATACTGCACAAAAAAACTTGTAAGACATAATTTGTAGAAGATTTACTCAGCTTTATTTTTGAAAATAACTATTTTTGCAGTAGAATGCGAGATATTTCAAAACTCCAGAAAAAATGCCATTTTTTCGCTGTTTTTTCAATATAGTGGCGCTGGCAGCAAAAAAAAGATGGCAAACATTGACTGCAGTTCAAAATACCTCAAATTATGATCCTACCAAATATAAAAACTCCTACATTTACTGCGATCAAATAAAGTTTTTAGCTCTCTGGGTACTGAGCTAGAAAGCCATTGTGAGATAAAATAACATCACTCACCCACACACACACACACACACACACACACACACACACGCGCGCGCGCGCGCGCGCGCACACACATACACATGCACACTCACACGACACACATACGCTCGCGTACAGTGTCCTTTGATAACCACAAGGCAAATTATACTGCATGATTTCAATTATGTATAAAAATAGATGTACGTATGAATGAGTTATATAGAAAGTTTCATAATTGATTCGATAGAGCTTGTGGACAGGTAGAGCGGACTGAGACGAAAGGTCCTCTACCATTTTATAATTTTCGCAATAGTTAACAGGATATAAATTACTACAAATTGTTGAATATTGGTCTTCAATAATTTTTTCTTAAATATTATCAACTTTTTAGAAAAACAGCAAAAGAAAAATATTGTTTATTTTCTTCTCATAAAATTCTAAGAATTTTTTCAAAATTTTTTATTAACTTTTTAGTATTATTAACTTTTAGTATTTTCTTATTTTTACATGAGAAAATACGGTATCAAAAAATTCTAAATAAAATTCTAAAAAAATTCTCAGAACTTTATAAATTTTGACTTTGTTGGGAAGCTATTAACTTATAGATTATGTTTAACGTCTTCTTCTTAATTTTTATATAAATATTTTTGCTAATAGTTTTATACAATCTCTGGAATTAACAATCGCGAAACATTTGTTCACACTTACTATTACCTAGAACTTTTGTAAATATTTTATACTTTACCTTCTGTTCTAATTCTTGTAGTGCTGTGCTAAATCTATCCCTTTGTTTCTCTACAACTTCCATTTGTGTTTTCATGCCGTCGATGGTTTGTGTCAGTTTATCCAGTTCATGTTCCATCTTTTTTTTGCCATATCTACATAATACTAATTCGTGATCTATTCGCTTGATTCGCTCATATGCGGTCTCCTTGCTAAGAATAATTTTATTTTTTTCTCGTAATAGATTTTTGATACGTTGTTTGTCCTCGAGTTGTTCCTTGCGACAGGTTTGAGCATCTTGTTCAACATTCTTGACATTAATCAAAGTTTGCTTTAATTCACGCTTCAGTTTGGATTGTTCAGATTCCGTTTTCAACAATCGTTTGTCTATCAAATCCTTCTCATGTTTATATTTGACGTTGTCCTCTTTTGTTCTAAAACATTTATTATTTATTGTAAAATCGGACTTGTGGCAATGATACAATTAAATATATAATACAATCTGTTTTACAAGACGCCCCGAAAATCATGAAGCTATGGAAGTCAGGCGCGCTAATTCGTGCATAAAATAATTATATATCCTTTTTAAAAATAAATAAATAAAATATAAATTTAATTCTCAGTCAACCATTAAAATCTTACGACATTTTACTTTAAATCTTACAAAATTCTTGTAGGGGAGACCGGGGTACCATGGGAACTGTTAAAAAAAATGCAGAATGTTTAGGTTGATGCAATTGATATCATATGATTGTTATTTAGTTACCCATATTATGTATCTAGATGGCAGTGATGCACTTCCATTATCTTTCCATATACATGCCATTAAAAAATCTCATGGTGCGAAAGTGATTATTTTACCTCTGACAATTTCTTATATGTTGTTTCTATAAAGTATGATATAGTTATTACGAGTTACATACGTGATTCTACACATCTTTCTGCATTTTGTCTGCAGTACAGGTAATCATTTATTGTTTACTTCGATGTTATAGTTTACTATCTTTCATATTTAGATATATCGGGGCACCATAGGTCATATACTAACAAGAGTTTAGAACAATTTGCGTAACTGCAGGACCGAATATGCATAAAAAAATTATGTAATCGTATTTTACGTGTGTCTTTATGATATAAATGTAATTAGATAAATTTCTTTATACATATGGTTATGTATAGACTTCAAATTTGTCTGGATAGGCTAGATCAGGTTAAGTTTTCGTGATGTAATTGGGCAAATTCTTTTATATTCTTTCAGAAAACGATAAAAATGGTTAGGAAATATAAAAGAAGATCGTCTAAGGGTACATATAAGGAAACTGATATAAAAAAAGCAATTGATTTGATTGCTAAAGGAG